TGACCGAGAAGGCTTAAAAGCATTTCTTTTACTTCTTGCTCACTAATCTTCTTTTTGACATTGCGAGCAAAAAAAGGTATTCCGACTATTGATTTCCTTGCTTTCGATCAAATTACCACAAACATAACAAGGTTTTTTAGCCCGAGCATAAACTTTTAATTTAGTTTGGTAATCACCTTTTTGAGCTAAGGGATTAATAAAATCAAAGGCCGAAGTTCCTCCTAATTTTAAGGCTTCTTTCAAAATAGACTGGGCTACTGAAACTATTTTTTCTATTTCTAAATAAGTAAGTTCATGAGTTTTTTTTAAGGGGTGGATTTTAGTGGTAAAAAGTATTTCCGAAGCATAAATATTACCAATCCCACTAATAATATTTTGTTCTAGCAAAGCAATTTTAATAGGAACTTTACGTTTTTGGTATTGAGTAAATAAATATTGAGTATCTACCGGCTCATTCAGCAAATCAACCCCAATATCTTTATATGGCTTTAATTGCCGATAATCCACTAACGGTTGTAAGCGAAAATTTCCAAAGCGACGTGCATCACAATAAATTAACTTCTTTCCATTGCTCAGGAAAAAGATTAAACTAATTGATTCCTTCTGTTCTAGAGTAAGCAAACTTTCTTCTACAAAATATTTTCCAGTCATTCCTAAATGACTAATCAAAACATGAGTATCGAGAATAAAAAATAATCATTTACCTTTTCTCTCTAATTTGTGAATAGTTTGTCCTAATAATAAATCAATAAATTCTTTTTCAGTTGTTCCCTTAATTAATTTACTATTAAAAATTTCTAATTTATGAATAGTTTGATTAATTATCCCGGAACTTATTAAAATTTGGCGAACAGTTTCAACTTCGGGTAATTCAGGCATAATTAGTATTTCTATTTTTTGGCAAAAGTATTCATTAATACCTTTTATAACTAGGTTTTATGTTAATTCGAAAGTTATATTAAAAATAAATAAATGTTTTTATTACTAATTAAAACATATTAAATAGAATGAAAAATAAAAAAAATAATTTTCGTTTACTAACCTTTTCGGTTCTGTTTCATTTATTATCCTGTTTTTGTGCCATTTATTTCGATCTTCATAAACCCAATTGACATTTAAGTGAAATTAACTATTGATGATATTTCTTTTGCTGATGAAGCACCCAAGCCTCTTTGATTACTGTCATTTACTTCATTTATCGGTTATTCAAAAGGTCGTCGGCAAATTATTTTGATAAAATTTTTGATTTGATTGTGATTAATGCTAATGTTACCTCAATTGTTCTTTTTTCCATTGGCATGTTGCCGTTTTGTTGGGGCGGAAAACCTTGAATAGCCGCACCCGGCAAGGGCAAGATTAGTGTATTTTCCTTAGTAATGGATAAAAGAATATTTTGATGAATTTACGCTACGATTTGGCATTATTTAGCTCCCATTTTGGCAATTACTTATTTTATCCGAAGAAAAGTTAGTTTAGTTAAAACTTATTACGAAAGAAAATGATTGTTCCTTTATAGTTTTATCCACCCGTTTCTTTACATAGTTTGTGTTTTCTACCGCCCGTTAATTGCCGGAGCAAAAAAATATCCGTGTGGGAAATGGGATTACCCTTATATTTTCTTTCAATGAGTAGCAGAATATGGCAAATCAAATAACTTTATTTGGGGTTTGCTGTTTATTTTTTTCATTTTCTTTTCCTTAGCAGTTGTGTGATTTACTACTTTGTTTTTTTGGTGGTACATTCATCACAAGATAGAACCTTTTAAACACGATAATTAATTAAAAAAACTTGCTCAAAGTTTCTAAAATAATTCGTTTCGAGAGAAATGATAAAACCAATAAAATTAAGTTATGAAGTTAATAGTTTGGTGACTAACATTACTAACAATATTACCATTGCTTTATCTTGGATGATGAAAAAAAGGGTGAAGGTTAATATTAGGAGTTACTATAGTAGCAATCCTGATAGCCAGTTTTTTCATTCCAGGAGAAATTATTTCTTCACTAATACGGAATGAAATAGCAAAAGAAATAAGAAACAAAGTAAAAAAAATAGATGAACTTATCCATGAGGCTGCTGCTACACAAGAGACTAACTCAGAAAAAGTTGAAGAAGCAAAAATAATCATAAAATCAGAGAAGGAACTAAAAGAACTCGATCAAACAATTAAAGAAAAAGGGCCGGCAGCTCCAGACTACCAAGTAAATTCATGATATTTAGAAAGAGAAAAGGCTAAGCTTAACGGGTGAAAAAACACATGAATTGCCAAATGAAGCAAAGAAATTTCTTCCTCCGCTATTCTCTTTCGCGGAGAAGAATTTAATCAAGTACTAACCACCGATAAGTATAAAATTAAAGAACGAGAAGTTAACTTCTTAGAAAATACGATAAATTTCGATGACTATCAAAGCAAAAGTGCGGAAGAAATTAAAGAAAAACTTTTAGAAATTATAAAGAAAGAAGAAAAAGATTGAACAGCAAATGAGTTTTCAATTGCTTTCCTCAAAAATATTAATAAGAAGATTAGTGAGCAAGAAGTAAAAGAAATGCTTTTAAGCCTTCTCGGTCAAGAAGCAAATGCTGACTTATGGAAATATACCATTAATTTCCAAGGTAATGAGCAAGAGAAACCTCCTAATCTATCTCAATTTGTCTTCATTGCTAGTATTCCTAATTCTGATTCTAAAAATTTAGAAGAATTAAAGAAAAACTTCCGAGTAGTGGAAGTTCCCTTAAGCAAACATCAGTTAACGGTTTTCATTCTTTCGGGCGGAGTTGAAGTAATTATTTTTTTCTTTCTCATCAGAAACAAAAGAAAATCTCAACATGAAAAACTCCAACAACTTGATTAACAACAAGACAAAAACTTTTATTATATTAACGAACTTTTATGAATAAGAGTTTAATCTTTCTAGAATCTTCAGTCAAAAGGAAAACCATTCAATCATTTTTAGGTGATAATTATGTAATACCAACCATTTCTTTTTCTAACAAATTTCTAATGATCAACCTATAATTACTACTCTGCCGTTAACTCGGTTATTTCGTAATATATTATAATTTTACATTTGAATTGGGTTTATTTATTCACAACTTACTATAATCTTGATATAATTCTTGATAGTTATTATGAATATAAGTAGTAGTGGTGTTAATATCACTATGTCCTAATAATTTCTGAATAGTAGTTAGTTTCACTTCCCTATTGTTCAGAAGAGTAGCGAAACTCCTACGAAAACTATGGGGAGTGATATGTTTATTAACCCCCGCCTTTTTAATTCCTCGGTTAATTATTTTTCTGATTTGACTATGAATTAACCTTTTTTTATTTTTGGTTTGAAAAAAATATTCTTGAGAATTAAACTGAAAATGTTGGGCTAAAAAATCAGGAAGAAAAACATATCTTACTTTATTACCTTTACCTAGTATCCTTAGTTGATTATTTTGGTAATCGCAGTGGCGAATGTTTATCAACTCATTAACTCTTAATCCTGCATAGAATAAAAAATCTAACACTAAATTATTACGATCGTTAATTTTTCTATTTTTAGGGCTAGAGTTTTTTAATTGTTCTAATTCCTCTTTATTAATAGTATCAAAAATTTTCCCTTGAACCTTGGGAATTAGTCTAATTATTAATTCTCGTTCAATCGCTATTTTTTGGAATTTAGCATAAGAAATTAGTGAACTGAAAATAGACTTTAGAGTATTAGGTTGGTAATTAGCTAAGTTTTTTCTGATAAATTCAATGATATTATCAGTACTTAGTTCTCGTGATCCATATTGGCTAACTCCTCGCAGTCTTACTCTAATAGTCTCAAAGGTAAGATTTCTTTTTTCTAATCACTCTTTAAAATCGTTTAATTTTGGTGCATTGTTGCCTAGTAGGCTTATTTGTGAAGTTTTCATATTGAAGTTTTTGAATTTTTACGGAGGGGAGGAAACTTCACTAACCCCCCCTTACTCTATTTTAACAAAGACAAATTTTTTTGCTAAATATTAGTTTAGGCCTTATTCTTAATAATAATATAATTAAAACTTTATTATATAGAGTAAATATTACTATCTAAAGTAATTAATTCTTTATATATTACATATGCCTATGGTCAAAGTTTTAGGAATATCTAATAGGAATAATATATAGTATTATCTTTGCTGAATTAAGTATTCAGTAAGAATAACTATTCAAATCAATCACTGCTTATTAGATATAATTTGCTTAAAGGCTTTTTTTTAGTGATTGTAGAAATAGTTTTTAAACAATAATGATAAATAAATTATTAAAAACATATGGTAAACTGGAAATTCAATACGATATTAAAAAATTCAATCTTATATTTTCTAGTTTCAGAACCCACTAGACTTCCCAATATCGGTTATTTAGGTGGTGGGTATGATATTTATAAAGGCAATCCAAGAGAAATAGGTAGTGTTGATCCTGGATTTAGACTAGAGCCTATTTTCAACCTTACGTTAGATGGCGGCATTACACCTGATGGAAGGTATATACTGCCCAAAGGTGTTGTAGCAGAACTTTGTATCTCTTGCGTTATTGATTTTAGCACTGATTATGTAAAAAACATACATGATTATAGAAAAGAATTAGACAAATCAATAAGCGGAAGTGCTTCTAGTTTTTTTGGCAAATTTAGTGCTTCACGCAGTTACAAGGATGTTTATAAAAAAACAGAAGAGCAAGAGAAAAAATTCACTATGAATGAAGCCAATTGTGCCTTATATTGCATGAAAGGCTTGACTTTCTTACCTCGGGAATTATCTGACGACTTTAAAGTAGCAGTTGAATTATTATCCAACAATAGTGATGATCCTATTTATTACGAGTTTATCAATGCTTTCGGAACTCATTATGTTCATTCTATGAAAATGGGAAGTAATTTTGGAGTATTAACCGAATTCACTAAATCATCATGAGAGGAAATGAATTCAAAACAAATTGACGTATCGGTTGCAGCTTCTACAAGTGCTTTTATTAAGGCTGGCATTGATGTAAAGAACGGAGAAAAAAACGAATTAGCCAAAAAATTTGAATCTTATTCTGAAAAAAGTCATATACACTCAACAGGAGCAAGTTTGCCCTCTACTGGCGAAATGAAAGATTGAATTCCTCGTGCTTTTGAAAATCCTATGCCACAAACTTATGAACTAAACAATGTATACGATTTGCTTAACAGTAGATATTTTTCTAATGATAAAGATATAGATATGAAAAGAAAAACCTTAAAAGAGGCAATTGATAAATATTGCCTCCGTTTAAAGGATCAAGGACTAGCTATAACTTGTTCAGAAGATCATAAACCACAATTACCTGAACCAAAAATCTTGACTATGTATAATTGCCCAGCAACTTCTTATGATTTTTGGGTGTCTAACGGCTGTATTGATCAGTTGTCAACGGTTGATAACTGTCAAGATACAAGATTACAGAGTGCAAAAATATTTCAGCAATATCTCTTAACACTTACATCAACTTACACAAGTGCTATTTATTCTTGTCCTAAGGTTGATGTTGATTTATTTAGGACGGCAGTTTATGCTTGTCCGGTAGTTACGGAAGGTAGTGGAGAACATTATACCAGTTGTCTCGGACAATTAACTTTGAAAAGAAGTCAGTGTGAAAATTGAGGTCATCCACAAAGAAATTTCGCTTGTGAAAGATTTGATGTTTCAAAAAGAACTATCTATAAATGCCCTTTTAATCCTTATATTGATGCTTCTCATGACGTTGTCACAATTGCTATAGGTTGTGTCGGTCAATATTCTCACATTAATAAATGTTACAACCAATGAATTCAATGAGGTGCGGCTCGTAGAACTTACTTCAATTGTGAAGTGTACCACTGATCAAATCAAGAATTCATAAAAAATGAAAAAGAGGGAAAATTGTCAAAAACCTCTGTTGGTGAACATGGACAACAAGAATCTAGTTTACTATTAGGTAACCGTCAGCATAGATTTAAACTGGTTCGCTCACAAAATAAGTTAGAAAAATTTCAAGAGCGGTTCTCTGCCCAAATTGAAATCCCTCCAAAATAAGTTATTATTTTCTGATCATTTTTTAAGTTAAATTACTGTGGTTGGTAATTGTGTAGAACTAAAATTAAGTATTATGGTAAACAAAATAAAAAACAACCATGCCACACAATCTAAACCACAACGATTAAGTGATAAAGAGATGCGAGAATTATTAACCAAACTAAAAAAGGAAGCTGATAAAACCCCTGAAGAAAAAGGTAGTTTTAGTTTAGAAGTAATTTGTCACGGCAAGGATATGAAAAGAAAATAATTCTTTATGGAGATATATTTTGAACACTTAATTAATGCTACTTATCGAACTTATCAAGATTCTTTAATTAAAAAGTATGGTGATATTTATCCTTTGCGTTCAGCAATAATTAAATTTGGTGGTTTCCAATTAAGTTATGATTGGTATGGAAGAACTAGATTAGGAAAAGAGGTAATAGGTAACCTTACTATTTACACCAAAGAAATTCACTTAAATAGTTTGTTTGCTCATCGCTTAGCAGGTTTGCAAAGCGATATTCCTAATTTTTCAAAACTTTTTGGATTTAGTAAACTAATTAACTCTATCGCTCATGAGTTAGCTCATTGCTTAATGGCTAATTATAAATTACAATTTGGTTATAAACATGATAAGGCACACTCTAGTTTAACCCAAGACGTCGAAGCATTTATGTTATCCTTGCCCGAAGTCAAGGAATTAGGAAGATTGCAAAAATCTTATTGAGAAGAATTAGTAAAGATTTTAAAATAAAGTTCAAAATACCACCTATTTTTCTGATTTAAAGATCAGACTACTAATCATTTATGGATTAAAAATTGTTATCCGATTGATTAATTATTACTAAATTAAACTAAAATTTTATATATAGAGTAGATTAACTAATTAATTTTCACAGTAAAGAAAAATTATTTTTTAAAAAAGTATTAGTAATTAACAAAGATACTAGAAGAGTTGGACATATTCTAATTTAGTTTATTGTTAATAAAGGTTGATTTATCAATCTTTTTAAGTTAAAAATAACGATAGTGAATAATTATTCTGTTATGTGTTCAGAATTAATGTATTTTAAATCATCAATACGAGAAATTAATTCTTTATCACCAAGCAAAACTTTGCCAACTAATCCTATGGTATTGAGATAATAGACAATCTGCTTTGGTCTCATATCACTACATCTTTGTCATTCCAGCGACAATCGATTTATATTGCTTTCGTATTCTATATCTTTACCAAAATGTAAACGACTTTGAACAATTAAGCAACGAGCTAAGAGTTGATTAGCAAGATTGTCTAATATGATGTGTAAAGATAATGAACAAATATTAAACATTAGCACACATTCTCTAGGGATAAATTTCCTTAATAATTCAGGATCTTGAATAGTTTTCAAACTTAACTTTTGAACCAAATTGTCTAAATCAGATTTATTTATTAATATCATTAATTCATTAAAATCTTCTTTCTCATCGTATTGCTTTACTACTTTTATTCATCATTCTCGAATTTCATCTTGAAAAACTTTTTCACCATAAGGGATAAGAAAATATAAGGGGTATCCGCCAAATTTTTTTACATTTTGATTTATCTTTATGTTGGATTTCATATCAGATTCTAGCGGATTCATAAAGCATTCGAGTTCATTTAAATTAGGATTATTGCTTAGATCCAAACTATCAATTTGGTTATTAAAGCAAAAAAGAGAGGTAATATTCATGTTTTTCCCTATTTCTAAGTGCTTTATTTTGTTACTAATGCAAGAAACTTTCGCTAATTGTGTATTTTTAGTTAGATCTAAATTAGTTAATTGATTAAATTGACAGTAAATTTCAACTAAATCTTCGTTGTTTGTTAGGTTTAGGCTGGTCAATTTGTTGAATGCACAATGCAACTCCTTTAATTTTGTATTTTTGCTTAAGTCTAATTGAGAAAGTCAATTTTTGTTGCAAACAAATTTAACTAAATTTGTATTTTTGGCTAATTCTAATCTAGTTAGTTCATTTTCAGAACAATAAAGTTCTAATAAATTTTTGTTTTTATTCAAATTAAGACTAGTTATTCTATTGTTAGGACAATACAATCTTTCTAGATTTATAAACTCACTTAGGTCTAGTTCTCCTTCTAAATCTTTGTTGTTAATAACTAAGTCTTTTTCTAATTTATTAAGAAGATTATTTAGATATTGTTGTCCTTTGGCCATAGGTTAATTTTACCTTAATTATTTTCTTTTATAGCAATTTCGCTTAGAATTTAATATTTTTTCTTCTTCTGATCACTAATTGCTAACCAAACAATAATCACTCCTAAAACTAAAACACTTTCTCCTATTATTCAAGAAGTTAACTTAGTAGAATTTTGTTCTTGTTTCTCTTTCTTTAAAATTTCCGGTTGAATTTACTAGATTAGCAAAAACGCTAACAAAACTGGAGAAAGTAAGAAAGTTGAAAATAAATTTATTACTTGGCAGAAAAAGTTTTTTGTTTATATTTTTAAAATATAGTATTATGTTTAATTATAGAACTAATCGCAATGAAATAATAAAAAAGTCATCAGAGGCTTATTACGGAAAAGAAAGAGGAAAAGCCATGGAAGAAGTAATGAGTGAAGATTTTTATACCGAGCCCGAACATCAATTGCTGAGTTATATTCCCAGTTATCAAAAAGAGTTCAGCGAAGAAGATCAAGTTAGAGTTTTTGTATTAATCAACACAAAATATAGTATTCTGAAAGGATTTAGGGAATGTAAAATGAAAAGAGAGTCCCAAGAGGAGTTAAAAAGTTATCTTTTGAGATTAGAATCTTATAAAGAGGAAGCGAGAGATAATTATCACAAATATTGACTTTATCTTATAATGAGTGAAGAGAATAAGATAAAAAGAAAGTATCAAAAGGAACATAGAGAGAAAATGTTTAACGAATTTTGAGACAGTATTTTTAAAAACCTAGATAAGGAAATCATTAAAGTGTTCCCTTAAATATTTTAAATATGCTCACTATTTTCTTTTTTTATTAGCAAATACCAAAATCAAACCTAAAACTGCTATTATTCCAACCGGAACTATTGCATAAAGAGGATTAAATTTAGAATTATTATTTTCTTGCTGGTTTTCTAATTCTCTTAATTTTTTCCTTAAATTCGCTAATTCTGCTTCTTCTTCCGGAGCACGATTAGGTTTTTGCTCTAATCTCTTAATTTTCTTCCTAATTTGCTCTCTCTCTCTCTCTCTCTCTCTCTCTCTCTCTCTCTCTCTATCATCAGGGTTGTCTTTTTCTTTTTGTTTTTTAAATTGTCTACAAAAATTTTCTATTCAAATACTAACTTCTTGAAATAAAAATTGACCACCCAGTCCCTCAAAATGATCTAGATCAACAGCCCCTGCTGATAACTTAGATCAGTATTTCTCATAACCGCTACTATTCTCTTTCACAAATTTTAAAAAATCAAAAAAATGATAAACATTGCTATGAGTGTATTTTGTTGCTAATCCATTACTTATTAACCATTCCTCAATTTTTTTATGATATCACTTTTGAGCAGCATGAGCAAATCTTCATCCTTTGGTTTCGTTACAATCTAAACAGCAAATGTCGTGCCACTGAAAATTTTTATTTATACTTTCATCAGCATTAAGTTTTCTTTCATCAAGCAAATCCTCTCAATAGATATTATTATGTTGACAAGTCATAGTTAATTATAACTCATTTTACAGCAAAAAAAAAAAAAAAAAAAAACGAGTTATTCTTTCTTGCTAATAAGGAGATAAACTACTAATGATAAACCACTCGCCAGAATTATTTTATCAATAAATTTGAGGTTTGGTAAATTTCATGGTTGAGCTGGTGGTGTGGGTGGATTATTTCTCATCTTCTTTAGCTCTTCTTCTAAATTCCGGACTTTCTTTTTATCAGCCCTAATTTCATCTTCTAAGATCACTAATTTTTTTCTAGCATTTTTCTTTTCTTCTTCACTACTATTGGGATTATTAAGAATGGCAGTAATCCTTTCTGCTTCCGAGTTTTTTTCTTTGATTGCTTTTAATAGTTTATCAGTCTCAGTTTGTCTTTCTTTAAGAGCATTTTCGTGACTTTTCATCATGGCGTCATATTGTTCCTTTCGCTCTTTTCTATCTTCTTCTCTTTTTTTTCCGTCTTCCTCATTATCGCCTCCACCAAAGACATAAGGAGCGACTAAACCAATTAAACTAACTCCTCCGGTAAAAGGAGCGGCAATTATCGAAGCGGCATTAATTAGATTTTGTTGTTTCATAATTATTTAGGATTTATTTCCCCATTAAGGGCATTGTTTTTATTGGTTATTTTCATGGTTTTTGGATTTTTTTAGGGTTTGGTTTTTGTTCGATCTGTTTTAATTCTTTTAGTCAACTGATTAGGGTATTTTCTTTACTGATTAGTTCTTGTTTGTAGTTAGTAATAAGTAATAAAGTTTCTTTAATTTTTTCTTTAGTTTGAGTTATTAATTGTTGTTGGGTCATATGTTTTTATCCGGTTTTTTTGGCTATTTCATTTAGTGTTGTGTTTATTGCAACAGTATTATCGTTAAATGTTGTAAACAATTTGTTCTTTAATTTCTGTTACTCTTATGTTCAATTCGGCTAAACGAGTATCAACTGCTTCGGTAATCTTAGGAATTAATTCCTCAACTTTAGGTTTATTCGGTCTTTCATACTTACCATCAAAATTATGTAACTGTTTACTGTCGAACAATCTTCAAAAGAATTCTAAGAATTCGCCAAGTTGAATTCCTTTTTTTGCTATCACTTCTTCGCCTTTATCATCAATCTTTGTTTCTTCTACTAATTCTTTCAGTGTATCAGAGTTTCTAATGAATTTGTATCAAAAATCCAAGAATTCATTTTCAAAACTCATAGTACTGAATCTGTTTACTCATTTATAATCCAATAAGAGGTGAACCAGATTTCCAAACCAAAAAAGACAATAATGCTTTATTCTATGGAACCGGAGGAACTGGTAAGACTTCTTTAGCAAGAAGAGTAGCTTATAATTCTGATCTTTATCCCTTAATTGAAATTAAAGGACCGGCTCTTACTCCTCGTAAAGAGGATTACAACAATGGAATAGATCCGCTCAACAAATTCATCTTTACTCTTTGTGACATTGAAAACGCTCTTGAAGATAATTACGGCTTTGTCAGAGAAGAAAACGGCGAAATAAGGTATATTCTTTTTGTGGATGAAGCTGATAATGTATGCTCTAATACCGCACTTCCTAC